TATTAATCTATATATATATTTATATATATATAATTAAATAATTTTAATTAAATATTACTTATATATATTAATATATTATTTACAAGTTTTTTTAGATTTAAAGATTAAAAGTATACGATAATAAAATTTATTAATTATATATATGATATATTATATATAATATTGAATATATTGATAGATATACTGTATATGTATGGATATATTTCTAGTTTATATTAATGATACTTAAAACTTGATTAATTGATTATTATATATATATATATATAATAGTTTGTTGTTTTTAGGTTTATTTGTTAAAATTATATATTTTTAAAATATAATATATATATATATTGAGAGAGCTTTCTATGAATTATTTTTTTATGGTTTTTATTTTGTTGTATCTATGGATATACTATTTAATTTAGAGGAGAAAATTGCATTATTTTTCAAATATATATATAATATTATTATTATTTTTATCTTAAAAAAAATTTTGCGATTTTGTATTTCCCACAGGTTTTCGATTGTGGAAAAAATGTGTTTTTTTAATTAAATATAAAAATTATATATATATATATATAACTTATTTATATATATTTTGTTTGTTATTTTAGAGTATTTTTTTTATAAAAAAAATATAAATGGAAAATAATATTAATAAAAATAATTATAAATTGAGAAATAAATTTTGTTTGAAAGTTGATAACTATTTATAATAATTATATATATGATATATACATATGTCATATACATTATATAGAGTATTATTAAATATTAAATACTCAATTATTTTTATTAATAATTTTCAATCAAATATGACATTTATCATATGTAAATAATTTTTTATAAAAAAACTAATATTAATATATATTATCTCACGTATTAAAAAAAATTGTTATTTTTTCAACAACATAAAAAAATTATCTATAAATTTTTATTTGTTGGTAAATTTTTTTTTTTATTATAAATAATTGGTTGCTTATTATAAATATATTTAATAATTTTTATAATAAATATATTTTATATAATTAATTGAAAAAATGCTTATTATAAAAAAAACACCTGTGATAATTGGTATACAATTTTTTGAATTAAATAATAAAAAATAAATTAATATTTTTTTGATAAATAGCACAATATTATTATTTGACAACAATTATAAATATTATTATAAATTGTTATTGTGTGATTTAATTGATAATTAAAAAAATAATTAAGATATATTATAATATATATAAATTCATTACATCAAAAAAATTTATTGTATCATTATTTTTTATATATAATATTTTACATTATTTAGTCATAAATAAATAAATTTTTTTAGACATTATTTTAAACACACAATATTTGTATGTATAATATTAAATAAATTAAATGGGATTTTAAAAAAAAAATTAATGTATCAAGATAATAATTTTATTATGATATAATTTAATAGTTTAATGAAATCAATTATTTTGCTATTAATTTTTATAATGGGTTATAATTAGTCAATTGTAATATTTATGAAAAAAATGTATTTTTTAAAATATATATACAGTATATAAAATACATAAAATAAAACAATTTTAAAATAATTAAATATTTATAAATTACAAAAATTATACACTAAAAAAATTATAAAATCAAATATTTTATTTTTATGTTTAGTTTTTTTAAAAATAAAAAAGATTTATATGTTATTATTAATACAAATAAATAAAATAAATTTATTAAAAAAATAATAATTTTTAACTATCTAATATAGATTTATTAAATACTATTAATAATAATTAGTGTGCAACTAATGTTTTTTAATTAGAAAAATTATTATCAAATTAATTTTAATATAAATTTGATAAAAGATAATAAATTTTATATTTTATAAAAAAAACAGTCACATATTTTTTAATTATTTGTTTTATAATTAATTAATAAATTTAATGCAAAATAAAAATAATAAAAACAAAACAAACTATAACTTAAAATAATAGATAAAAACGATTACTACAGTAGAAACTGTTATTTTTTGCGGTAATAAATAAAATAAAAATTTTTGAAATAATATTTTTCAAAAAAAAAACTATTTCTTATTTATTTGAATATAAATTTATATTATAAATCAAATAATGACACGAAACACAATTATATATTATAAATATATAAGTATTAAAATTAATAAAACAAAAAAAACTTTAATTGATAATAAGATATAAACTTATTAATATAATAAATATTTAAATATTGATTATATATATACTATAAAATTATTTTATTCACATTGCGTGCATTTTCGATATAAATTAAATTGATTTTTTGTTTGTTTGTTTGTTTGTATTTATTATTAAAAGTACAAATTTTATTATTTATATATTTAATAATTTTATTTTTTGTTGCTTTATTATAATTATTATTATTTTATTTATGTTGAATATATGTCTAAATGACATGTTTTTCATATATACATATATATATATGTATACATAAAACTAATTAAATTGAATAAATATTATTAATAAAATATAAACTGCTTAAATCAAAAAATGTTGACATAAATTATTATTTGCAAAAAAAACAACAAAAAATAACATTTATGTAAATGTTTAGTAATATAGTATTTATTTGCAATTAAAATTTAATAAATATTAGTTTTATTAGCTACTACTATACAGTTATATAATTTAATCTATAATATGATTACGATTAAAACTAATATAAAATTTTTTGATAACAAAAATTAACATATCATAAATTTTATCTATTTCATTATAAACACTAAAATTTTATACATTTAATTTTTTTTTAAATCAATAATATAATATAGTATTTTAGACTAAAATTTTAAAAATATACAATTTTAATGAATGTAAAAGTGACTCGGATAATTTTGCATTTTTGATAGTAATTTACATACAGTACATAATTAACCATTTGAATTTATAATTTTATAAATTTATATATATACTTATAGGTAAATAGTTTTTTAAAAGTAATTTAATTAAATTAGTAGTAAAATAGTAACTTTATATAAAATCATGCACTTTAGTTAATATATTCAATTATTTTATATCATAATACTAAATTTTCTAAATTAATATGTTAATTTTAAAATTATACATGCATATATAATTTATATATATATATATATATATATATAATACTGCATAATGTATTTTTAAATTAACTATTATATATGATATCTTAATTAACATAAACACACACATACACACACACACACACACACACACACACACATATATATATATATATATATATACACGCATACACACACATACACACACACATACACACACACATACACACACACATACACACACACTTAGATAAACACAATTATTTAGTGTTTTACTATATATTATACAAAATTTTTATATAAAATCATCTGTGTATTACTGAATATACATACATTATATATATATATATATACTGTATATATATTACACAATATATACTGTATATACAAGTATTTTTAAATATACAGTTCATATATTATATACACACACAATAATTGAATGACAGTATAAAAATGATAAATTGTGTTAACAAACAAACAAAACTATTTTCAAAAATATAAAAGATTAGTTTTATGGAAGCATTTTCCCAAATAGTAGTAATAGTTTTACTAACTTATCTGATGACCATTTAAATTAAAATAATAACTTATGTTATTATATATATATATATATATATAATATAATATATTACTATTAATATACATCACCAGTAATTTTTTAAATAAAAATTAATTATAACTGTCATATATGACAGTAAAGTGTGAAAAAATTTATACTAAATTTAATTTTGAATAACACTTTATTATTTCCCTCCCCTCCACACACCCCCCCCAAAAAAATAATAACCGTGACATTTTTTGGCAATTGATTATTTTATTTACTAGTTTTAATACACAAAAATAACTAGTTTTTAATTTTTTTGTTTGTTTGGAAAAATACAAAATAATATATTAATGCATATATATTATGAATATTGTAAATATATATATTAATAAATAAAATTATAAATACATTATATATTGTGTTATGTATTTTATTGAACCCATTTGATCCATGTCATTTAATAATAATAAAAAAAATAACTATTTATTATTCTAAATTCTAATCAATTAAATAATTATTCATTTTTAATTATTATAATTAATATTATAATAATTATTATATAAAATTTATAGTTATATTAATTATTAAAAATTATTTTTATATATTTAAATTATTGATAATCATATATAATAATTAGTAATAATAATAATAATAATAACCATAATATGTGTGACATCTATAGTTGTATAGTTTAATCAATTTTATTTGAAAACTATTTGATTTAATTTAATAATTAACCGAAATAATTTTATAAAATATATAATAAAAATTATTTTTTTTAGTTTAAATATATATATATAACTAAATGATTATTATTACAAAATTACATATAGTATTTTATAAATAAATAAATAAACATATATGATAGTTATAAACCTAAATGTTATAAACCTAATATATAAATAATATGAACAATAATTCAAACAATTATTATTATTATTATTATATATTGAAATTTAAAAAATATATTGATATATATAATGATATATAAACTGAACATGCAAATTTAACTAATAAACTTTAATGAATATACATTTGTTTTAATTTTGATTTATTAATTTTGCCTAAACTGGTCAAGGGCATTTTATCCAATATTTTTAAGCCACCCCTGAGCTGTTTGTTAACATCAACTCGTTTATTGACATACTCTTTGATATCCCCGGCCTTATCGATGGCACCGGTATTCAGTGTAACAAAAGCCATGGGTATCTGACCGTACAGTTGGCTATCGATACCGATAACGGCCGCCCTTTCGACGGACGGATGAGTCAATAGATGATTCTCTAACTCTATCGGCGATACAATTACTCCTTAAAAAATTTTGAAAAAAATAATTATTATAAACATATAAAAAACCTAAAATCATTTAATTAGGAAATTAAAAATTAAATAATAAAT